CCACAGACTGCCACTCTGGGTCCCTGAGGAAGACCCTTAACCCCATACTGCTGCCCGGCGCCGCACAATGGCAGCCCACTGCTCCACAAGAGGATGAGTTAAATATGTTGCTCTGTACCTGTGACATTGTTAGGGTTAGAAAAAGTATCACAAATCATAAAAGAAACATATTCAAAATCAACTTCACGGTTTTTTTTTTCATTAGAAAAATTTGAGCTTTCTGACAATTGATTTAGTCTTAAGAGTTTAAATATGCAGATTGGTATATTTTTTCAGTAATAAGCTATTAGCAATTTTGATTGATAAACCTCCAAATGATCAAATCTGTTATAAACCAGCATAAAAAAACATGTTTCAATGTTAACTCACGGATCAGTGTCTATTTCAGATCCACTGAAATTATTCGCACATCAGATGTACTGCAAATAAAACCTACTAATTTCAGAGAAATTTCAGAGATACTAAATATTAAATGATGACAACCAGTCAAAGGTACCTGCATGATTTACAAAAATATAAACAATAGGAAGGTTATAGAAGTCCAGGGGGAGTAAAGTTTTACTTTTTGACGATATTCAGGACTCCTACTGAGATATAAGTATGGTTTTTATCCCTTTGACCTGCCGTGTCTCAGCGGTGATGAATGCAGGATGTGTTGCTTTTCTTGCTTCCTTATATCCTAATGTTTAGATTATTTTTTTGGTGTGTCTCACAGAGAAGCAATTGTTCCTAAGTGGAAGTTATTCATTCATGGATGTGGTTTGTCTCATAGTGGGACAGGAAAGTGCGGGTTATACACTGGAAAAAAAATCGAAATCTAGATAAGTAATTTTTTTCTTAAAATAAGTGCATTTGTTCTTGGATTGAGGAGGTAAAAGAAAAATTTTTCCAATGGAACAAGACAATTTACACACAAAAAAAAACAATCGCATTGTCTTATTTCAAGTGCATATTATCTAATTATCGTATTTTAAGAGTAAAAATATTTATTCCATTGGCAAACTATCTCATTTACCTGCTCAGATTAAGGATCAATGCACTTAATATAAGAAATTTGTAATTATTTCTAGATTGTTTTTTCCAGTGTAAGCATTCTCTAAAATGCTGCCTGACAGTACGTATCTGTTGGTTGGATAGTTTACTGTTTTGTGTGGCTGAGGGTGTAAATAGGTGAGAGGAACAAACGATCCGCCATGATTAGGCATCTGAAAAACACACACAAAAAAAACCCAAAGGAAGAAGAGTTAGAGGTTAAATATGCATTTTGAAAGAATCCAGATGCAACATAACTTGTTTTATATGCAATTTAAGGAAACAGAGAGGAAATAGACTTGGGCCTGATGTCTTTAAAATATTATATTCTATATCCGTTATGGACTTTCCAAAAAAAAAAAAAAAAAAAAACCACTAATGCTGCTGATTTTTCCTTTGGTGTAAAAGGTGAGTAAAAGTGCGTGGACTAACAGGGTGCACATGTACTTCCTATTATGCTAAAACTGTGCTGCAACAAATGGTTGTACTTGCTGAATTCTTTTTTTATTATTATTATTAATTTGTTTATCTTCTGTGGTGAAGAAATTGTGTAATGTTATTGTTACATTTATCAATGGAAATGGTTATGCTGTATATGCACTGCCTAAATGTAGATGCATATATATCGTTATATAGCCTATCAAACATTCGGATTCAGTGTATGAATGTGCCTTTCCTGGCATAAAATTAAAGATGTTCAGCATCTAGATGAGATTTTTCATGTTGAAAGTGTTTTAATAGCTGTCTTCTTTCCACAGGTCATAGTAATGAGACTGTTATAATACCCAAGATGAATATAAAACCCTATCTAACCACTTAAGTCTCTTTGATTTAGATTCTTAGGTGTAAGAAAGCTCTATGTCTGCTGGCAGCCCTGATGTTCTTTAAAGTCTGATAAATTGATCTCACTAAAAACCAATTTCTTCGTTAAATGTAAGTAATGATAACTGCTAGTTTTATGTTTTATTGAATTAAAACTCAGGGTTTTTAAAGCAAAATAAAAGCTGGCACATCTTCAGAATGTATAAAACATGCTAAACAATGTAAAGTATATAGATACTCTATATTTCTGTACTTAATCCAATTATAATTCGAGTTCAAAATGGGTTTTAATATCATAAAATGTTGACGGTCTGATTGGGTTTCCAACGACAAACCCTCGGGTTAAAGGTCATCCATGCTGACCAGTCAGCAAAAGGAACATCCTCCTGGGCACGTAGCCAGGGCACATCATCAGTCTGAGGCATAGTGAGCAGGGACGGAGCTAGATGGGGGGCCAGAGGTGGCCATGGCCACCCTTAGCCAATGTCTGGCCACCCCTACCATTTTTCCCCCCTCCAATATAGAAGGAGGCAACAGTGATACTCTTAATGGGAATATTAAAACATTTTATTTTTTTTTATATATTAGCAATTATTAAAATTACTAAAACCCTTTGGTTTATTAAGCCCATCAAAATACTAACATTAACGTTGATATATACAATTCAGTTTCAATTCAGTTTATTTCTATAGCGCCAATTCACAACACAAGTCATCTCAAGGCTCTTTCCAGTTTAACCAGATCATCCAGTCAAATTGATTCAGTTTTCTATCTAAGGAAAACCAGTTGATTGCATCGACTCATCAACAATAAGATCCCTCACACTAAGCATGCTTGTAGCGACAGTGGAGAGGAAAAACTCCCTTTGAACAGGAAGAAACCTCCAGCAGAACCAGGCTCAGTGTGAGCGGCCATCTGCTGAGGCCCACTGGGGTTCAAGGAGACAGAAGCAGACATAGAAAAAAAGAAGCATAGATACAAAAGGCAACTGTCAACCAGCTCCACAGGCGGCCCCGTCCAGGAAACACACAGCCAGGCAGACTAACTCCGAGCCAGCTCCCATGTCACAAGACGAAGAGAGCACATCCAGCCAGTCACGGTCAGAGAAACAGGACTACACTGGAAAACAGGCCAATCTTCAGCATCTATAAACAAAGGTGTTGATGGCAGCAGCACAGCTGATATTTCTCTCCAGGATGGAGTCACAGCCAAACAGGAACAGACCAGATGAAGCTACTATGAGAAAAAGCAGAGAGAGCAGAACGTTAGAGATTGAACTAATAGATTCTGCAGAGTGGGAGAATAGAGATAGAATGAAGCAGAATGATGAAAAAGGGGTCCCTATGTCCTCCAGCAGTCTAAGCCTATAGCAGCAGAACTATAGAGATAGCTCAGGATAACCTGAGTTACTCTAATTATAAGCTTTATCAAAAAGGAAAGTTTTAAGCCTAGCCTTAAAAGTAGACAGGGTGTCTGCCTCAACATAATATACAGAATCAGAGCCTATAGAGCCTATTGAATTAGCAGTTTCTTATTTCTTTGAACTATATGCATTTCCATGGGTGTCTGAATATTTTAGCGGGCATAGCCATATCATTTTCTTTGTAGTACTGGAGCTGCTGCGCTGGTCTGAATATCCATTCATCCATCATGATCTTGGACAGTGGTTTTCAAAGTGGGGGGGAGGTTGGCAGGAAAGGTATAGCACAACAAAGTGAGTCATTTAATAAACTGGGTAACTAACAACCAAAATAAACCAAAAATAAGCACAAAAAATATTTATATAATACCTGTAATCTTAGCCAAAATAAATTCTACCAGGCCAAGCGTGCCCTTGGTTTTGTCAGGGGATTTCTGCTCACGATGATACTATGCAAACTTAACATTTCCATTTATTAATTACTTTAATTGGCTGTTGCTTATTGCAAGAAATACAAGCCATGTTCAAAGAACAAAATAAAAATATGGTCTGTGTTGAGCTGAAACGGGACTCAATTTGGCTAAAATGCAGGATATTGCTGGAAATTGCATCTAAGAAATACAACATTTTCTGGGTGAGGACCCCCAGATCCCCCACGACAATAAAGTTTCTCTAGTACTATCAAATATTAACATACAAGAATGACATTGGGAAAGATTTATCGGACATGGTCAATATTATTACAAGTATGGGAAGATATCATAAGTGTGTAAATGGAAAAATAAAAAACCTTCATTAATAAGTTTCAAAAACGAACAAACTTTATCTCTGTTAGCCGACAAATACAGACATATACAAAAACTTTGAAGGGATATGTGGAAATTTATGGATTTTTGAATCAACAAAATGTTAACTTGATGCAAGGAACTGTCTTGTTGCAGAATGATTCTGTCTCCTTTATTTTTATTTAATTCTTTTTTAAGTTTTGTATGTTTCCATTGGTTGTAATATTACTGCCTGTTTATTTATTTATTTCTGTTGCCTTGCACAAGTTAAGTTGATCTCCTGTATATAACTGTTATTTTCTACTTTATTTTTGTAAGAAAGAACATTTGTCTAGGACCCCCATGTCCCTTACATTTCTGAAAGGGGGCAACCCTACCCTAATGANTTGCCTTGCACAAGTTAAGTTGATCTCCTGTATATAACTGTTATTTTCTACTTTATTTTTGTAAGAAAGAACCTTTCTCTAGGACCCCCATGTCCTTTACATTTCTGAAAGGGGGCAACCCTACCCTAATGAGATGGGAAATTGCGTGATTGTAATTTACTACATAAATGACTTAAAACTTAAAATTAGGAAGAATATTTTTTCGTTTAAAGTGCAAAAAAACAAACACTTATAATTGCATTTATAAGTAAAAGGCTGTTAAAGTTGTCTCCTAGGCTTACAGAGAAAGCCATGAGAACCGCCTTCTGATTGGCTGAACGTGTCCCGCCTTCTGATTGGCTGAACGTGTCCCGCCTTCTGATTGGCTGAACGTGTCCCTTACGTCTTGCTGTAAACAACTTGCTGGATGCGTATGCGTGCGTAGGGACGGTAATGGAGGATAGTGATGTACTCCGGGGGTTAGCATGATATCCTCTCTGTGGTTTTCTACGCGCAGCCGTTTTTATTAACTATAGTTTATTTGCCACATAAGGGGACAGCATTCGGTCTTACCTGGAGCATTAGGTAAGTATCGATACGTCGACGTCGTTTGGACGCAGAACGTTAACTTCTCATTTTAAAATGCTAATCCGGTAGCTATAGCCTGCTAGCCGGAGCTGTGAAGCTAATGGAGATGCTAACGGTCGGGTGCTTAGTTTGTCCTGTTTTGATGAGGAATGTGTTTAGAATTAAAAACATTTAATCTCAGGCTTTTATTTAAACAAAGGAATAATTCAGGGATGTTGTTCTAGATATTAGGAGAATGCTAAAGCTAGGTTTGCCCATCTTGCTGATAAATGTTCCGGGGAGGAGATGTAACATCTTTTAGTCCCTTCCCATGTCTGGTTTAATGGGGTTAAAATGCTAATGTCTTGCTTTTTAAACAGCATGTTCGTGTTATTTACCGTATTAACGTGTTAGTTGCGCGATCACATTGGCCGAATATGTGCTAGTAAACGGGCAATTGCTATCGTTGCTAACTGTGTTTTACTTCAGCGCAATGAACCGATCAGGCTTGTTCCTTTAGCACGATCGCTAACCAGCTTTCAGGCAGATTTAAAGAGACTCACTCTTAACCAATCAGGATCGATTATTGCCGCACGCGGCAGCATCCACGCGGTGTTCAAACTAGCTTCAAAATAATGTGGAATATGGAGTAGGGGCGTAATCAAACTAGCCTCTGTTAATGATAATAGCATGATCCTGCAAACATAATCACTGGTAGAGAATAGTAGCTAAATGATCTAGGGTTATTTGAAAGAATTAGACCTAGACTCAACTTTATTTTTTATTGTGATTACTCCTTCGGGGAAATTCTTGTTCAAGTAGTTTATATAGAGTAAAAAGAGTTAAAGCAAGAAGCCATTAAATATAAAGATGACAGACAATATAAAAAGAGTGTATATCAGGGGTAACTAATTAAAAATTAGCGGGGTCTGAAAAAAGGAAATCAACAACCAGTAAAGGTCTGGAGACATTTTTTTTATTATAATTTGTTACTTTAAACATAATTTAACACTGAAATAAAGTGAGGTGTTTTTGCCTCTATGTTATACATTGAATTTTTGAAAATCTAAAGGGTTTTTTGAAGTAGAGAACAACATTAGTTCAGTTTGGTATATAAACAATTTCCTGATTCACATATGTATAAAACACCTGAACTGAGTGTTTTTTTCTGTCTTAAAGGAATAGTACACCCAAAACATGATTAGCCTTCATTTTCTACTCACCCCCATGCTGAACAACACTCTGGAGT